TGGAGGAAAATATTCACCATCAATAAGAAAACTAGTATGTTATCTATTTATTTATTTGAATTTGTGAATCATAACATTATATATATATATATATATATATATATATTAGTCTTATATTAATCACTCATTTAAATATTTAAGTATTTCTTTTTAAATCTATAAATAATTATTTAAAGATCTATTTTCGTAAAGAATTTACATAAATATGTATATCAATATATTCTTGAAATTCAAAACATTCTTTTTCTTATTTCGAGATAAAATTTTGTACTATCGACATACTCTGAATGCCATATTATTGTAAAAAAAAAAAAAAAAGAATTAGTAATTCATCATTTATAACAGAACAATACATTATCGATAAATTCATTAATTGATTTGTTTATTTAGCGTCAACATTACTTACATGATACTAAATGTTTAACTGACAAAATCTTCTTATCTCCTATACAGTCTTCATCAGTAACAAAACAATTTGATAAACAAACTAGTGATCCTCAATTATCTTCATCTCATCATCATTATCAATCATCTATTGATTTAATGGCAACATCAGTAAAGTGTGATCATTGTCAAAAACATGAAGGATTATTTCAATGTTGTCATTGTAATCAACGTTTATGTATTCGATGTTGTAATAAACATTATAAAAAGGTTACTACTGAATTTGAACATTTACATGAATTAAGTCATTGTCTTTTAATGAAAATAATTCATAAAAAACGTGATCTTGAAAAACAAAAAGATGAAACAATTGAACAATGTCATAAATGGCGTATTGATACAATTAATATAATAAATGAAGCACATAAACTTCTTATACAAACAATTTATGATGAATATGAAATATTAAATAAAGAATATGAATTATTTATTGATAAAGAAATGTCAAATATAAATTCTGATAAACATGAATTAATACGCATGAAAAAAGGAAATCTTAGTTCATTACTTTTATCACCATCATCAAAAATAACAACAAAAAATTCTATAAAATCAATTGATATAATAAAAAAACGTATTGAAACATTAACTAAACATATTAATGAAATAGAAAATTTTTCATTTCAAGTTAAATTACCTACATTTGATATTAATGATAATCTTATAATTGAATCACATTTTGGTGATCATATAAGAAGTACTAATACAACATTACAAAATGAAGATTATATTAACAATACATCATCAATTAAGTCCAAAGAAATATCTAAAAAAGTAACTAATAAAAAAAAAGAAAAAAAAAAGAAATTTTTTTCATAAATCTTCTAGGAATTTTCTACAGATTCTCAATCAATAAATTTATCATCTCAAAAATGTGATACAAATGATTCATATCCTTCTATCAAAAAAACTATTATATTTCCATCGGATCACTATAAAATCTATTCTTCAATATCAACAAATCAATTAAATACATGTAATCATAATCATCAAAATACACATAAATTTCATCGAACATTATCTTCTTCACTACCATCAATTGATAATACAAATCGAAATGTTCAAATCAAATATGAATCTGATAATTCGTTAGAAGATATAGCTATTGAACAACTGATACCAATATGTGATGCACAACGAACAACAACTACTGTACCTATTCGATCATCGTCATTATTAAATACAAATAAAGTATTTAAAAATTATCCTTCACTTTATTATCGAACTAATTCAACTCCTTCATTTATTCAATAAAAATATTTCATTTTATTGTTGACTCTTCTTTTGTGTTTTTTTACTGAAATTCCGTTAGTTTTATATTTCAGTTTGCTTTTATTACAATTAAACAAAGAAATAATAAGAAAATTTAATTTTCTGATTAATTCCTTTTTTCTGTCACACAATCTATCTACATGATGATATATTTTATTTAATTATTATCAAATTTTTCAATTAGTATTATTTTTTTTAAATATTATTAACTATAAGATATTAAAAGTATTCATAAAATATGAATCTTCTATTTGCATTATTTGCAAATTCTTCTCAATAATCAATATATATATATAGTTTGCTTGTTATTACTAATCGCATCAGTAATGAATAAACAATCATTTGTTGTAATACAAAGAATTAATAAGCATTTCATAATTTATTTTTCATGATTCAGAATTTTGTCATACTCAAATGATTGTCCTTCAGTTATAATTCCGTTTCTACAAGATGTCTATTCTATAAAATTTTATTTCGTACAACTTCATTATTGATTGAACTTAATCAACTATTAATATATTTTTTTTTGCATGATAGGTAAATACATTTTTAGTCCAATCAATAGTAAAGTTATTTTTCGAACATTCTTTTAGTATGCTGATAGCACATCTATTCGATAGACAAAAGATTCAATGTTCGCTTCTTCGTGAAGAAAGGTTTTTCTTTCGTTTCGTTCTCTTATCATTACATCGCACTGCAACTTCGATTATAACAAGCATTTGATTTATCAATATTTTTCGATTCTACAATAAATGTGATTGCATTGAAGTAATACACTATAGATTATGAATCCTACTATCATCAATTGAATCAGTACAAACGGTAATCTATATGAAGACTTATAAATAAAGAATATATTATACAGTTTGTAATGAGAGGACATATTTTGAAAACTAACCAATGCATAGTTCATTTTTAAATTTCAAATAATAGTTAGTATATTGATATATAAAATTAATCAGATTTTGTATTATATTTTTTTTAATGTTAGTTTAAAAAATTTTATTATGAAATTTTCTTTTTTTTTTTTATTGACTATTACGAATCATAACATAGCTTAAATGTACTATAAAAAAAATCATATAAATGTATATTGTTTTATGTGATGTATTGAAAGATGAATCAAGGTCTATACATTTAGATGTTTCATTTTCTTTGATCGACCTTACTCAAATCCATGTCACTTTTCATTTCGTTTGCATTGACAATATGCAAATAAACTTCACTATAGTATATTTATATATGCATAAGATGTATTTTAAAAAAGAAGAATAGATCCGAACTACTAATAGTTATAATATTGGCATGTAACAATTTGTATCCTTCTTATTGACATATGGCAAACAACATGTAAATGAAGGTCAAAAACTAGACTATTTAAAGATATATTGTTTTTTTTTTGAAGTAGTCGTTCCATGATAGAAATGTGGTTTTGTTGTTGTCTTGTAAAGATTAGAAGTCATTTCCTTGTCTTCTATTGCTTCTTTTCTTGCTTTTTTTCTTTCTATTAAATGCAACACACGCATCCGCATGCTTTCGTTATTAAATTTATTGTATGCGAAGGTCGTTTATCTTTTCTATTAGTTTTTGTATACGATTGTGTAGAAAAAAAAATATTCCCATTTACTTTATCTGTCAGCCAATGCTCTTCACTATAGCTGTATTCACTTACATACATAAATGTGCGCAAAAAAAATAGAGAAAACATACATCTTTGTTGTTTTTCTTGCATTTTTTTTTGCGAATTCTTACGATGCCATTTTGACAGGGAAATGACAAGAGAAACTTGTATAGCCTATTAGAATCTTTATCACTATATTCGTTATATTTTATGCGTATATACAATGGTTAAGTGAGTGGATATTGTATGACAAACCATAGAAAGATCAAATATCGTATGTTGAATATTGTAGATGCGGATCACATTTTTTTTTTCTATAAAGAGAAAGAGAGGCAAAAGTTTACTTTCGTCATTCACTATTGTAACATGTAGTCATCAGTTTGTTATTTTGACCTGTCGATGAAAGTATTTCAAGATCGATCTATATATATATATATATATATATCAGGTAAAAGAAAGAAACATATATAGATAAATGCATGATATGCATGTTATTTTATTCTCTATGTTGAATGAGTATTGTTAATAGTCAACAGGATATCATAGATGTACAAAAAGGCCATATTCTATTTTGATGACAGCAACTGTTATCAAAACACTTAACATTTTTCTTGTTATAAATATATATATATATATGGAACTAAATATTCGATTTATAATCTTTCATTTCGAGGTGATATAGTAAATAGTTCTAAACATTATTCTATATATATATACACGACCTATTAGATTATCTATTTTGTATTTTTCTTTTACACTAAACTTTCAATAAAAGAAGGGTAGGACTGACAGTATAATTAACAGCAGTCATTTAATGTACATCAATGAATATCTGATGTTGTCATCATGTCATTTCATACAACATTTATTTCTAAGTTTCTAAGTAGCTGTTAACCTTGATTTACAGCTTTGTTAGTTTTTTTTTTTATCTTTTTCTATGGATATACACACGCACACGCACGAATGTGCTTCTATTATAAAATAACCAAAAAGCATAATAAGATGTCGCTTCTTTGTATTTTTTTTCCCATTCACGTTTCTTTATAGAAACTTCTGTGATCATCATTTGATCATGTCTCTTATAATAAAAAATGTGTCTTATCATTCGTCATATATACATATAAATGGATGTCGTTAGGTATTTTTCATTGGAATACGTTTATATACAAGCATCAGTGCAACAATCATTGAATTGCTTACTCTTACTAGCATATATAGAATATATATAATACTGTAGAATAAAATGACGAACTGTCATTGGTCTAATTAAATCTGATACATATATATATATATTTATAAATATATTATTGTGCAAGTATTCCCTATTGCTTCCTGTACATCAACAATCAAATGAAACTTGATCTACTTTAGCCGGTCGTTGCGCATGCTGTCAATATTTACTACAATCAACCTATTCAGACATCATGTCTATGAGTATATGCTGCTTATTTTTTTTCTTTCTTTCTCTTCTACAGTCTATTACTCACTTGAATACACTCATTCTTCTGATGCCATTTAAGTATAATGTTCTATATGAGGAACTACCCATATTCCTATACGTACAATATAAGTGTTGAATAGTGTCATCGAAGGATGTCTGACTAGTATGTAATTTAAAATGTCTATCGTCTAAATTTAGATAGAATAAAAAGTATATAAAATCATGTATAGTTATGAACATATACCAGTCGAATGGTTTACTTCAAATAGACGACCACAAACATCTAATTACCCCCCACCACCACCAATGTCTCGACCAGTATCAAAAAGTTTCAATCGAATATCTGATTTTATATTTCCTGATACAGTTCATGTACGTTTTCGTTCATCTTCTCGTCAACAACAACAACAACAACAACAACAACGGCCTATTTTCCCACGATATCAACGAACTGAAAATTATAGTTTACCAGCATTAAATCAACGTGATTTAATTATTGTTGAACGTTTACCTGTTGAAGAATTAGATGATGTTGATTTACTCTATCGTGAACAATATTATGAACCAAATCAACAAATTCAACGTTGTTATACATCAAATATTGATCAACATCGATTACCATCATATGAAAAAATTTCTACAGGATTAAAAAATCGATCAGTTGCATATCGTGAAAAATTTCGTGATAGAAAAAAACGTCATACAACTGATAATGCATATCATTCAATGTTAAAATCAATTTTAGAAAAAGATCAACAACCATATATGAATGATAAAAATTCAAATTATATTCTTTCATATAGAACTACACTTGATCCAATTACAGATTCAGAATCTATGACATCTATTAACCAGCAAAAACAGTATAATAATGATACTTCAAATTATCGAGTACCTATCAATGGAACAATACCTAATGCGAATGAAAAAATCCGTTCAAGACAATTTAGTTCAACAATAAGTACTCGAGATTCATCAAGTGATACAGACATTACTGAAAGACGTCCGAAAATAATGAATTCAACTTATTATCAACAAGATTCATCAGTAAGAAATATAGTTTCAGTAGAATATTAATATCATATAGAATATTTAGTATATTAATTCATCAAATATTCCTTCAAATATTTCACCACGTTTTTCATCTAATCGTGTACATGTTCAATATCAACCTGACAGATTCATTCCGATTAATTCATCAATAGCAGACACAAACAATCATGAAACAATGTCTAATTCCAATAATCTGATCACTTCATCGCCATTTAATAATGTTACTAATGATCAGATAAACAATCAAATATCATCACAAGACTCAACGCATCATGTTTCTTTGTGCGTCAATGATCTACATACAACATTATTTATTGATGAAGATACATTGAAGAAGACGAAGACATCCATTAATAATAATGGTAGAAAAGGTAAATAATCAAACGTATATTGAATATTTTAATTAAAACTTGTCAATGAAATCGAATAAGAAAATAATTAAAAAATAACAACAATTATTTTTCTTTCTTTACCTTTTATTTCTTATTTAGCAGTTATAAAAACATTTATCGATCGAATTATCAAACGATTACAGCATTTTAAATCTTCACTTGATAATGGATTAAGTATGCGTTGTTCACCTATTAGATTTATTCCCTGTTTGAAATGCATGTTTGTGTGCTTTCTCAGATTGCATTTTTTTTTCTATTTGACACGAATGACCAAAACAATAATAAAAATAAAAATAAATATCAAATATTTATATAATATCGTTTATGTTTAATTAATTTTAGTTCATACACGAAAACGAAATACATTAGTTAATGGATCAATTATTACTGCTGATTATCATTCACCTCAAGAAATAACAAATAGAAAAACGAATATAAATCAATCAATCGATTTTCTAGATGAAAATAAACTTGTTCGACCATATTTTTTAATTAAACCACAAACAATACTTATGTTACCTAATGAAACAGGTAAATTGATAGAAAATTAAATTTATTAAAAGAATATTAAATTTTTCTTCTTAGCTAAATTTAAATGTTGTTTTGGTGGTGATCCATTTCCGACTCTTACTTGGTCACATAATGAATGTCGTATACCTGAAATATTTCTTACTAGTGATACAACATCATCACGATATCGAACACATAAATTACATGATATTTATTATTTGGACATTGGACCGATTAATCTTCGTGATCATGGCCAAATAAAATGTACAATTATGAATAGATTTGGTCGAGAAGAAGCTGTTGCTCAATTAATTGTTGTTCGTAAGGACATTCAAAGAAGCGTTGATGATTAATTATTATAGGTGTTTTTTTTTTGTTAAGCTTCACCAGCTGATGCTACACCATATATTACACAGCCGCTTAATGATATAATTATTATTGAAGGAAGACCATTAAAAATATCGTGTGGTATTACTGGTTTACAAGTGACGGTCAACTGGTTTCATAATGGAAAAGTAGAAATATTTATTTTTGAATAATATTGATTAAATAATTTGAAAATCTATTTTAGTTAATTTCATCAATGACAGAATCAAAAGACAATTATAATAATGAAAAGTCTATATTTAGTCTTTCTTGTGTATGTATATTGAAATTAGAAATAAAAAATTTTGATATGTTTAATTATTGATTTTTTATTTAGTGTTTGAAAACTGATACTGGTACAATTGATTGTTTTGTTAAAAATCGTTTTGGAGAAGCGAGAACAAGTTGTCGTATTACAGTAATCAATGAACCAGAATTAGACCGGTGAATATTTAATAATATAAAAAATGCCACAAAGGAACGCATCATTAATTCATTTCTTTTTTTGTTTTTCTGTATTTTCCCATTAGTCCAATATGTTGATTATTATCTTCTTTTTTCTTTTCTTATGTGTTGTATTGTAGCATTGTATTGCTTTCCTCTATTGTCATTATGACTCAATAAATTAGTAATGAAAACTAATGCAAAGAAAGGTGTGTGTGTAGAATTTTAAAAATGTTTGTTTTTTTTTTTTGATTAATTTCATTCTGAATAATTTGAAAGCCTAATAAATTGATACAATATTGAGAATTTAACTTTGATTTTAAAGAATATTTTACACCCATGTAATCAAACGATTATTACATAGTATATCTTATCTATGTAGAAAAAATGTTACAATTTTTTTTTTAAATAATACTTATAAACAACTGATAAGGTTAGAAATAAAAGTTCCAAAAAAAATCACAATTATATAAATTCATTCATTGTTATTAATAATAAAAAAACTTAAAACTATCAATATAACATAATTTAGATGAATTATTATGTTCATATAGCTACATCAATTTAGTTCAATACTTATATTACCATTATCCTAGGTATTGATTTTAACTACGATTATATCGCAAAGACAAAAAAAAAACATTTTGATTAAATCGCTAGTCAAATATCTTGTAAGCAAGATGTTGGAAAGATAATTTATAGTTATATTTCTCAACTGTGTCTGATTGATCTGTACCAAGATTTTGAAATGTCAAGATCAGACAAAAAAAAATAAACAATCTGAATATCTTTCTGCAGGGCCTTGATTAAAATAATAGCGATACCATTGATGTATTTTCATAATAAAAAATTCTTAATTCATTCTAAATTTATTCGCAGAAAACATTCTCACTTTATTTTTTAATATAGCACGTATGAAAGAAGTTCTCAACAGTGAAGGCACGTATCATTCAATATGATTAAAGGTTCAAAATATAAGGAAAAAAGAAAAACTCTGTAATCTACCATTCATTTTTTTTGACTGGTTTATTGTGTCTTTGTAGAAGATGTTATCCGTTTTTTTAGAAAAAAATATTCACGATTAGATACAGACTTTTGAAGAGATAGGATCGAGTATTGTATTCTTGTATATTTTTAAAGATAAATTTTTTTTTTTTAAAAAATGATAGATTAAATGATGCCTTAGGTTTCAGTATTTATGAAATCTTTAAATAAAATGACTTCTACATTGAATGTATCTTCTCTAGAGAAGTAGTCTCAGGATAGTCTAGAAAGATTTTTATTTTAAAGCTGAATTACTATGTTCAAATTTTCAGATCATTTATAAATAATTATAATCATGTTAATGTCGACTATTTCAATTGGATAAATTTTATTTTTCATTAGAATAAATTGTTACTAATTAGTTAATTATTTTATATTAAATTCTTCTTTTTTTTTTGACTGAAATGTCTCATCCTTTCAATTAATGAATGCAAATGAAATATACATAGTCAATTTGTAGAATTAATTCTGTAAATTAAATTGTTTTTTTTTTATAATACATTTTTTGTTGTTACAATGTCTCTTAGTCAAAGTTAGATGTTTTTTAAATGTTCAGATAAATTTTTGTTTTTGCATTAAATAAAAATTGGAAAACAAGACATTGATATAAGATCTTGGAAATCTTGATTAACAGTATCCAAGATCAGGAAAGACAAGATATTTGATAGAAGAAGTTGAATATATGTTATCAAGATCTTACAAATCTGTATCCAAGATCTAGTTATAGATCTTGGTATAAAATAATTGTATTATTTTGTACGTAAATTTTCAAGATCTGTTCACTTTTCTATACCTTGTATCTTGACCGAGATCTTGTTTACAAGATGTTCGACTAGGGATAAGAAATAGGCTAATAGTAAGATAATAAATTATGAGATCATACTTTACTGATCAGTACCATCACTTTCCACAAAGTTATACAATAGTCAAAAAAATGTTAGATTTTTGAAAAATAGTTTCATCAAGAAAAAAAGAACAAATGCTTATTTGTTTGTTTTTTAACATGTTGATATTTTTTTGAATCGTAACTGCTATTTATGGCATCACTTTGTTTGATCTAGAGGTATATGACTGTCAACGACTGCCAAGCGCCATCTGTATCGTGGTAATTCTGCATAAACATACGTCACTTTTACAGGAAACTATTAGTGTTTGGTATCTTCCAATTAAAAATAACAATTGGAAACAAAATTTTCATTTTATGTATGTAAAATCAATTCATAGTAAAGTGTAAAAAAAAACGAAGAGAGTTCCTTTTTTTTTTAATGGTACATATACTTCCTTTCTTTTCTTTTTTTTAAATAAATTTTCATTTTATAGAGAATGACGTCAAATTGGACGAAGAAAAGTCATATCTAAATCGAAATTTTATCTACACTAAATAAAGGTTAAATATTTCTTATTTTTATTTTAATGATTAATTTTTTATGATGTCTACTCTCAAGGTTTTACCTTTCCTATGTAAATAGTCTTTTTTATATTCTATGAAAGTAAACTATAAAAAAAACTGCTTGTCTTTTTTTTTTATAAGACAACAAGAAAATAGAATTTGATTAAGTTTCTTTTTTTGATTTTTTAGATGATTATTTAATAAAAACAAGAACTAAAAAAAAGTATACCAAAATGTAGAAAAATAAAGAATTTTTTCTTTCTTTGAATTTAAATCTAATGTTTTCATTAAGTCAACGTTATTTATTTGACCATCTATTAACATTTGATGATTTATCGAAAAAATCACAATATAAAAATATAAAATTTAAACGTGCTTTTGAATTTCTTCAATTACTTTTTCTTCAACGTGTTTATGGTATCGATATAATAAAACGTTCACCAATACGACAATTATATAAACAACAACAACAACAACAACAACAATATCAATTTGAAGTATTTCTAGGTGGTTCATGTAATCCAACAACATGGAGACATGAGCAAGCTATTCCTTATTTTCAATTACATTCAGTTGCTTATTATAATCCACAAGTTGCTAATTGGACACCTGATTTAGTTGAAATTGAACATAATGCAAAAGAATCAGCAAGACTTTTATTTTTTGTTATTGATCATGATACACGATCATTAGCAGCTATAGCTGAAGTATGTTATTTAATAGCACGTGAACGAACTATTATTGTTATTATAACTCCCATGCCAGAAGATAAATATCAAACAAAATTTATTCAACAAAAAAATTTTTATAATGAACAAGATAATGAAAATGATTATGAAAATGTTTGTCAAGCAAGAGAAACATTAAGAATATTACTTCAAATTAAAAATGTACCAGTTTTTGATAATGTTAAAGTCGGATTAGAATGTGCAGGATTTTTAATTAAAAATCGAAAACAATCTATGACGAATTGTAAAACTTTCGATGAAGAAAAAACGAACAACAATAATAAAAATGAAAAAAGTAAGCCATTTAATTTATCGATAAAAATAAAAAAATCAATGAATTTTATCTAAATTTCTCATCGCAATAAAAAAAAGAAGCCCTTAGGGCTTCTATTGTGGGAGAACTACCAATATGACTTGTGTAGATAACATCAAGAGAAGACTCATACACCTATATCATATCATAATATTACGAGTAGAAGAAATATGAATTTGTAATGATATTCATATACCTGTTACCATACAAAGAAGCGATTACAAGAGTACATTGTGACCATGATTTCACATGTCATGTCGCCTATTACTTTTCAAGACATAATTATTTTTAAGAGATAGAAAACAACAACAAAAACTAATATTATTTCTTCGGCTCTTTCATTTTTGTATCAAATCAATTTGAGCTTATAGTACCATTAAGTATCTTACTATTTCAAATAAACTTGAATACTTAATAATGAACGTTTGGATATACTTTATTTTCAACATGAGCTATTAACTTTTAATACGTCATCAAATGACGAAGACCTATACTATATTTTGCTCGATTGAAATTTGTCATCAGAATTAATTTTAATATGATTTCATGAAAGACTGTAAGTCTAGAGATGTGCCATTTCAGTTTACTGACTACCAAAGTCATCGACTCAGTGTAGTTAATGCGCACTTACACCAGTATTCAGTGAAACACAACTACAAAATGGATGTATTTTGATAGCGTTGATGTTTCAATGTTGTAGTGAACGTGGATGCCAGTGTACCTTGTATCAATGACTCATTGTTGAGTATTTACACTAACATTATACATCGCTACTCACTGTGAACCTAACAATTTTAATTTTAAAAATAAGTTCTAGAATATATTTAGAGAAACATGTGCTTCTTTGTAGTGATTTCTAGTTTACTAATAGCATCCTGAGTGTTTTCTTTTTGGGTGTCGATATAGCTTATTCGTCATGCCTATGCCTTGTTATTCTGGAGTTATTGATGTAAATTTTAGTTTTTTGGTAAGGATATGAAGTTGTGACCGTTCGAAGTCAAAAATGTAGTAAAACAGTCGTAATTCCAGAAGAACAAGTTGCATACGGACAAAGCCTATAAGTTGTATTGACCTTCGACATCTAGTGACAATCTCTTGTTAGTAAAATTAGTAATTGTTAATGATTATCTATTTTAGTTTCTCGTTCATCTTCAAATAAAATTAGTTTTGAATCTCCTGATAATTTTTATCGTAAACAATCTCTATCAGAAATGACTTTATCGTCTTCAGTTCCAGTTTATCGACGTCATAGTGCAACATCAATAACACAGAAAATTCTTCCTTTATCATCTTTAAATCCATTTTTGCGTTCAATTAATTTTACGACTGGTTTTCATTATCATCAACGACCAATTTGTACAAAAACACAAATATCATGTTCAACAAATGAAAGTGATGATGATGGTTATGGTTCATTAATATCTAGTAATCGTACATTATCTCGATCAGCATCATCATGTATAACATCTGATTTTTATGAATGTTCTATTGATCATCAATTTGAAAGTAATTCTTTAATGTAAGAAAATCAATAAATAAATCAAATAATAATATTAATAAAAAAAAATTTCATTTAGATTTTATCAGCCTATTTCTACATTAAATATTATGATGTCAATTTTTTCTACATATATTTCATTCGTATGTTTTCCCATATCATCAAATTTATCAATAACACAATCAATTTATAATGTCTGTACAATTTCTTATCTTTTTATAAATCATATTCTATTTTCTTTTATGAAAAACATAATGACATCAAATAAAGAAACTATTCATTTCAATTATCCAATTTATATGTTTGATCTTTATATAGCTTCCGGTGATCATGATGAAATTTGGTTAAATACATATGTATTACCAATTCTTAAAGACATAAATGTAAAATATATAAAACGACAAACATGTGATGATAATGATCAACTTGATCTTGTTTATAATATTTATGTACGTAAACGTTCACGTTTATTATATTATTTAATAAATAATAATGAACGTCTATCAAATCTTGTTAGTGAACTTGCATATCTTATTGGTGAACGTAAATATTATATTATTGTTTATTTACAATCAACAATTGATGAAAATTCAGATAAAATTTTGACAAAAAATGAACGACAAGATATTGAACGTTCAAGAAAATATCTTGAAGATTTAGCAATAAAAGAAAATATTTTATTGTTTCATTCACGTGAACAAAGTTGCCAACACGTTTTAGCTTTTTTTCTTCAAAATGAACACTAATTAATTTGCTCGACAAGATTGTTATTAGTTTGTTATAAAGAAAAAACACAACACAACAATCGAATCAAGTTTCTTTTTTTTTTTATGATGGGTGATAAATAACCAGAATAAAATGTTTTTTCATATTTATATGTTTATTTTACGTTTATTTTTAATAAAAAAAAAAAAAAAACTTTGTCTAAAACAACCCATGTTCTTATGACAATGGTCAAGTATTCTAGCATATTTCTACTTAATAGTTTCTTTTATAGATTTAGATAACAAAAAAAAAAAACACAATACTAATAAAATAAAATGTTCATATCAGACTACATACAAATGTGATAGAGTTGATATTCATATACTCATAAAAGAAAATGTCATCTAACCTTGGTATAGCAACACCACCAATCGATTCGAACAGTCATGTAGAATATTTTACTAAATCTAATCATCCATCGTATCTAATTTCAAAATTTTTATCTTATCTCCGACAAGGATTTCTTTGTGATATTATTTTTATTTATGATAATGGAAAAATAAAACGACAAATAATTGCTCATCGTCTTATTATCTCGATATTATCTGATTATTTTCATAGTTTATTTGAAAATCATAAACAAACTGAGATTATTATCAATGATATTGATCCAGATATTTTTGAAAAAATTATACTTTATGCATATGAAGGTAAAATTTATTTTATAATATAAATTTATCTAAATTGAAAAATAAATATCCCTTAGGTCATATTGAAATTCATTCAACTAATGTTACTAAAATTCTTCATATTTCACATTTATTTCATATAACTGAAATAATTGAAGCATGTTGTAATTTTATTAAAAAACAAATTCAACCATCAAATTGTTTTGATCTATATAGATTTGCTTTAAAACATAATTTACAAGATTTAACAGAAACTATTTGGAATTATATTCTTGTATGGTTTTTTTTTACTTCTTCTTTCTTTTTAATATTAAGTTCTTTTTTTCTTTCTTTCAGGATCATTTCTCAATAGTTATTCAAAATAATCATGAATTTCTTGAATTATCTTTTGATGAAATGAAACAACTATTAGCATCTGGTAAGTAAATTATTTTGATGATAATAAGAAAGAGAAATTACGATTACAAAGTAATAGACAGCGGAAAAGTTATCTGGTGTTCACTAACGGTAACGATGGTCTTACAAATTACTCAATAAATGAGAAAGTTACGAGTTCGCTTATTGAGTTTGATCAAAAGTTTTCGTGATCGAAGAATTCAATTCTCGTTGAAATTTTTTAGTTTCATTTTTTTTTGCACGAATTACCGATAGAATCGGAATCGGAGAGTTGTAGATCAAACTTTATAAGAAATCCATATTTCTACTAAATAGGATTTTCTTAATGAAAATATTATTTTAGATAATATCAATGTTCAATCGGAAGAAATAGTTTATGAAGCATTTATTTCGTGGCTTGATTATGATTTAAATCGACATAATGATTATTTAGCAAAATTATTTAATTTAATTAGATTACCTTTAATCAAAAGAAAAGTATGATCAAGAAAATTTTATTATTAATTATTTTATTTTATTTTTTTGTAATAGTATTTGATAGATTATATTGATACAAATAAAATATTTGAAAATAATAGTTTATGTCAAATGTTGATTATTGAAGCAATGCGTTACCATTTAGTACCAGAAAAATGTTTAACTATGAAAACAATAAGAACAAAACCAAGAAAATCAACACTTGGTGTTCTTTATTGTTTTGGTGGAATTAATAATACTAAAAGTAAGAATAAAATTAACAATATGATTTTATATTTTAATTTAAAAAATTAGATTTACAAACTATTGAAAGATATGATTTTCGAACTGATTGTTGGCAAATAGATGACCAATGGAATAGTCGACGTTCTCAGTTTGCTTGTATTAGACTAAATACAAAATTATATATATGTGGAGGTCGAGCTGGTCTTAAAACGTTTGTTGATATTTTTTATTAAGTTTTTATGAATGATTGATTTTATTTTTAGGTTAAATAGTATTGAAATCTATGATTTTCAAACAAAAATTTGGACTATTGGATCACCAATGCTTACTAATCGTTATGATTTAGGTATTGAACATATTGGTGGTCCTTTATATGCTATTGGGGGTCATAATGGACAAATTATTCTTAATACAGTAGAACGTTTTGATCCGGACATATCTGAATGGACTTATGTTGCATCAATGAACAATCCACGATATACATTAGGTGTTGCTGTTCTTGAAAATCGGTAAAATTTCTTTTTTTTTTTTAATATGCTTTTAATTTGTCTATATTTCTTTTTTTCTTTAGGATTTATGCAGTTGGAGGTAAAGATGATTCTACAAGTCTTCGAGAAATGGAATTTTTTGATCCACATACTAATCGTTGGTCACAATGTGCATCAATGATAAAATGTCGTGCTAGTGTAGCTGTTGTTTGTTGTAATGAATTTTTATATGCTATTGGTGGTTATGAATTGTTAACAATAAATAAAAATATTATTCGACATGATGATGGTGAACGTTATGATTTAAAATGTAATCAATGGACATTGATTACTTCATTTAGTCGACCAAAACAAGCTTTAGGAATAGCTGTTGTTAATAATAAATTATATATTATTGGTGGTTTTAATGGAAAATTTTTAAATGAAATGGAAAAATATGATACAGAAACTAATAAATGGAAAAAAGTAGAAAATAAATATTATTATTTAATCTTTGATAGGTTATGGAGAAGTTTTTTTTTCTTCTTTTTAGTGTTCTCCATTAAGAACAAAAAGAGCCGGTGCTTGTCTTATTCATTTACCTAATTCTATTGATCAATTATAAAATATGCTAATGTTATCTCAAGGAAATAAAAATTCTTCAACTAGTTCTCATCAAAGAAATCGTCTTATTCTTTTATAAATATTTTTTTTACAATTTTATATATCAATTAAAATTTATTTTGTATTTTATTTAATAATAAATATGATTAGATAGTCTTTCAACATAATCTTCAATTGGTCATTTATGAACATTCATCATTTGTCTTTTTATTTGATTAACAGATATTGTTCGTAGTGCATACGTATTCATTGTTCTGATCTTGATATCAACATATCAGTTGCAAAAAACGAATCAATAAATATAGATAATATCTCCAAAAAAATAACAATTACAGTAAAACATCTTCCAATAATGAAAGGTTTCAGATCTGACACAAGAATTTTTGCTAGAAATGTCTCTCTATAATGTCATCATCTCGTTATTCTTAACAATGAACACTTTTGTGCGCTTCTTCTTGTTATTATAACTTCTCTATTGTGAACATAAGTGCAATGTTCTTATGAACTACGAGTGCGTACGTTTAATGAGCTAAAATCAAACTTAAGTGGCATCGATATTTACAAAAAAAGAAATTAAATTTTTTGCTGTAGTTGAAAAAATCTTTCAATTCAAAACATTTCGATGAAAACCAATGGACAAGACTATAGATACCTTGATGTTTAATTCAGACCAATGTAAAAGCAGATAATCTAGCATAGTTTTTTCGTTGTATAACAAATCATACACCAACTTTTCAAACTGACCAGCTTCATATAGTGGATGATTTTTAATGATTCCAAGAGGGTATCTCTAAAAACTACGAACATTCACGGATACTCATTATTACTTTGATTTTAACTGTAAAAGATAATGGTGCTCAGCTTAATATTTTATTGTAAGATATCTTGTGTAAGTAAAATTCAAAGTAATAATTGGTGTATGTGTACTATTCATTTTGAACTCTATATGATTTGACAGGTTTCGTGATGTCCGCAGTTTTTTTTTAAGGAAACTGTATTTATGTTAATAGCATACGAGTAATAATTGTTACTATTGCTCATTTCAAAAAAAAAAAGGCGGGTGGATATTTTTCAAACAACTTTTGATAGAAGCAAGATAGAGAGCTGCGATTTTCACCGTTGGAAAGAGAAGATAGAGACGCATCAAACTGTATATTACAGAATAATGTGACCTAGTTTTTTCAAAGACTTACATCGATGTTTTTGAAAACCAAGATACTCCGTAAGATGAGTAAAGTGAATTTTCAATAATCAGTTGTGCATTCGAATCTCTAATGGATGCTCTATAAAATTACACAAGGCTCAGACTTCTAGATGTACTCGTTCAATAGTTATAGCATTCTACTTAAAATTCTGAATCGATTTTTCTATTAATTTCTGTGAACAAAATCATTTTTTTTTGCGTTTTTCTTATTTTATGAGAAACCAATTTTTCGACACTTTTTTAAGAAGATTGGTTACGAAAATTTTAAAAAACATCTTAGAAAAACCTATAATATAAGATTCGATGCATCTTTACCTCCTCTTTCCAACGGTGAAAAACCGCGACTCTCTGTCTTCCTTCTATCAAAAGTTATTCGAAAAATATCCATTCGCCTTAATGATCCTAATACATTAAAATAGTCAACTCATATAGATATATAATTGGTTCCAGAAATCATCATACTTATTATTATACTAATACAGGAACCTCTCCAAGTGTTAAATCGCTTTTCGACTGAGCCGATATTCATTTTATAAATAACGGATAAGTGTAGAACAGTTTGGTTTTCCAGGCCTTCTTTCTCGAAATATCGAAATTTCATTGAATTTTTCAACAAAAAGCTATAATCACGTGAAAGATCGACTTTAAAATTTCCGTCAACAAAGTGCTTAATGATATTAGTTCATGTATACAAATTTTAGCTTTTCTAGTGTTTCCTTTCTACAGATATAAATATATGAACAAAATGTACTTTTACACAAGAGAGAATTGCGAAAAATTAATATCTTAAGATAGAAGATACTAGAAAAGTTACGACCTGCCTAATGAACTGATCTCATTGAGAACTTTGTTCGCGCAAAGGTTGAAGTCAAAACCCGAAAGTCGATTTTTCATTGAAACACTCAGTAAAATTTCAATATCTCAAAAGCGAACACCTGAAAAATTTATTATTCATCAAA